CCCATCAAAAGCAGCAGCAGCATCGCTCCCTTGATAACCCCCAACAGGCGCATGCAGCGGCATGGCTTGCATAGGGTGGCCTACAGGGGGAGCAGCAGCAGCATACGGCTGGTGAGGAGCAGCAGCAGCAGCAGAAGCAGCAGCAGAAATGTCTCCGTCTCGTGCTGCTGCCCTACGCTGCCTCTTTGTCTGTGGTTGCTGCATCAGCAGCATCTGCTGCTGCTGCTGCAGCTCTTGCTGCTGCTGCGATCCTCTCTTAGTGAGAGACGGCGGCAGCTCAATGCCCTCAGGGATATACCCAAGGTAGCTCGGTATATAGGGTTGCTTCTTGCTGCTGCTGGTTCCTCTGACTCCTGCTGCTGCTGCTGCTGCTGCTGCTGCTGCTGGAGGTGCTTCTGCTGCTGCATTTGCTGCTGCTGCTGCAGCAGCAGCAGGAGGCCTCGGAGGAAGCCGCATAAGGGCTCTCCTTGGTGCAGCAGATGCATCGAAGGGTGCAGGACCGGTAGCTGTTTGCAGCAGTTGCTGCTGCTGCTGCTGCTGCAGGTGTAACGGGTGTTGCTGCAGTTCTGTCGCCGCTGCAGCAGCAGCAGGAGGCGCAGCAGCAGCAGCAGCAGCAGCAGCACCATATAACCCGTATGCTGCTGCTGGGCGCTTGCTGCGGAGAGGGACAGAAGAAGATGCAGCGCTGCGGCTGTTGGATGCTGCGCTGCTGGAGGAGACAGCAGAGCCGTCGTCGTCGTCGCCTTCTCCCTCTATCAGCTCGCCCCCCAAACCCTCGCCCTCTAACCCCACACCCTCTCCTGTACACACGCAACAGCAGCAGCAGCAGCAACAACAGCAGCACCAAATGAAGATGCAGCAGCAGCAACAAAGAACACAACACACAAACACACCCCAACCAAATTTCAGCAAGAGGAACAGCAGCAGCAGCAGCAACAGCAGCCGCAACAGCAGCAACAGCAACAGGAGCAGCAGCAACAGCCAACATCTTGGGCGAATGCAGCTCTGTACAAATCCTACTACTACTCCTACTGTGCCCCGCGTCTGCTGCTGCAGCTGCAGCTGCAGCTGCTGCACCTGCTGCTGCTGCATCTGCTGCTGCTGCTGCTGCACCTGCACGTGTTGCTGCTGCTGCTGCTGCTGCTGCTGCAGCACTGTGTATACCTGTTGGCGGTGCGCTTGCTGTTGGATCCCAGCAGCATCTGAAGGCCTCAAAGAAGCGACGAATTTTCTCTCCTTGTGCAGCCCCATGCAGACAGTGAAAGTATATGCATGCATTCACGCGGCTCCGCATCAGTATGAAACCCATACACTCCAGTGCCTGCAGCAGCAGCAGCAGCAGCAGCAGCAGCAGCAGCAATAGCAGCAGCAATGGCAGCAAAAGCAGCAGAAAGGAGATGCATAGTACAACAACCGCAGCTACACACACAAACAGCAGCGCGATCTGATACTGATAAATCCTGAGCTGCAGCAGCAGCAGCAGCAACAACAGCAGCAGCAGCAACAGCAGCAGCAGCAGCAGCAGCAGCAGATTCGCACCCTAAGGAAGAGAGGACTCTCTTGCCCGTTGTAGG